TTTGTGTCAAGATTCAGCATGAGCAATATATAGAAATAGTTAAATCATAGATATTATTATTATAAGCGATGATGACTCTAAGTTAGTTGAGTGGCCGTGTGTTGCAACGGGACAAATAATACCACCAAACGTCTAGTAGCCAATCCAAAATCAAGATTGTGATAAATCTATTTTGCATGTCCCAAATTTAACAGCTTGTCCCAAATTCATCCGACCTCCAAACAAAACATGTTGGTAGTCAAACGGATTCGTTTCGACAAGATCTACAAAACCACGGTCTCTGATCGTCTATATGACTTATGGTTCAAAAAGTTATTTTTTTTCTCTTTACTCTACTCAGCCAGCATATTATTTTTTTTTATAAATTCTAGGGTATTACAGCTCCAAATTAAGAAAAATCTGATTTAGGCATTCAGAACTAATGCCATGATGATACATGTTTTGTGCCTGATATAGTCCACATTAAACTACCAGATAGTACATAGAATCTCAGTCTAGATCAGGCAATATTTTTTTCTACCATCGGTCTGCTTTATTTTCCTGAAGTTCAGAGGAAACAAATTATTTCCATAGCCTGCAAATATTATACGTTAGGTCTTCAATTTATTTTTATCGTTCATGTTATTTTCCAAACAAAAAAAAGTTGTAGTAGATGCAAGTCATATTATGTAAACATATAGTCACAAACCATTTTCTATTAGAATATCACGGTTATCACCCAACACCAACATATCACCCCGACACTGGATTGCTTTTTTCAATCTATAAATTGTATACTTATATTGAGCAAATTAATTCTATAACAGGATGTGCCATCAAAATGTTAGAATGGGATCCATGGCAACTGATGCATAGGACAAAAAGAATACCTGGACAATTCCACAAGCAATACATGAGGCAAACAGGCCTGGAGGCATCTGGGAGGAAGAACGGACCATCTCCCCCCTTCACTGGGCATGAGGCACCATTCAGAGTTTCAGATTTCAGAGGCCTTTGCATTGCTCCCTCGGTAATCCACCATTACACTTCAAGACCTCCATATGATCAATCTGCCTGTGCGCCGCTGATCAATACACTATAAAGGCAAATACAACAAAATTTCAAGTACAGTAATATACTGTGACGGCTGGTGGAGAGAATTTAAATTAGCTATTTTTAACGCTCTCCTAAAACAGCAACAAAGATGGTCAAATGACCCAAGGACATCTATTGTATTCAACAACGAAACTTCTTCTGAACCACCCGTGTGCCTTCTGCCTTGAACCCGACTAGGAAGATGAACCGTACGGTTTCACCGGATCATGAACAGTAGGAAGGGAGGGAACACTTGGATTGAAACATAGGCGGTGCACGATCCGTTGATGTTGCCTCTCCACTATAGCGGCGAGGAGGAAGTCAAGCCCGGCGGCGTTGAGGATGAGGAAGCGGGTCGGCGCGGACAAGGCGACGGCGACGGGCAACGTCGAGGACGAGTGGCGAGGAGGTGAGGGCGGCACGCAAGGGCAAGTGCGAGGGCACTGTGCATGAGGGTGAGGACATGCGGTGTGCATAGGGAGGACGGTTGCTTAACTGGCAGTGCGAGATGATCGTCGCGTGATGTAATCCTTGCGTGATTCATGAGGGCACTAATGGCAGGATTGACCGGATCAATCAATCAATCAAAATAGTAGTTTCCTTTCTTGATCTTGCATGCACACGATTGGCTCACATGCATGCAAGTAAGGATGAAAATGGTCGGAAACGGTCGAAAAACTCCTAAATTGTTTTCAACTTTTACATTTGAATACGAAAACAAAAGCGAAAACGGTAAAGCTGGGCACGAAAACGAACGCGAACTTACGGAATATCGATAATTCCGAAAACAAACCAATTCGAGCAGAATTATGTCGAACACAATCGATTACGAAAATTCGATACGGAATACTGACCCGTAGGCTCAAGTGCATGACAATTAACAAGTGCATGACTAAGTACATGTACATGGATGATCAAGTTCAAGTGCATATAATAATTAACAAGTGCATGATCCTTGGTCTTAAGTATTAATACAATAGCAGACATACAAATACAAGTATAGAACAACTAATTAACAGCTAGCAGGATAATAGGAATTAAAATTAGATGTAGCAACTAGCATACCATTTTAGAATCATAGAAACGTGAACACAAACTGAGTCAGGATAATTTTATTCTTTTTGGAATAGATGTAATATTTTATTTTAAAGATTTATTCAGCTTTTTCTTTTGAGTAACAAAAATTTATTCGGCTGAGGCAAAAACTATCAAACGTGTCAGTGACTTCGCAGGTGGGGGTTAAACAGATGAGCTTGATGGGCTATGGCCCAGGTGAGCTTTGCGTGTAGCACTGGTAAGCTGAGAAGGGAAGCGGAGAAGATGTTGGTGGCCACGAAGTTTAGTACCACCTCGCGAGGTGAAATGAGATGAGGCTGGGCGCCGTCTATATGAGAGGGCAGCTGGCTCCTAGTAGAAACTTCACGGCTGCGTGGTGAGCAGCCTGTAAATGGGCAGTGTGACCTGTGCAGTAGTCTAAATTCGGTTTCAACTGAATTTCGAATTCGGATATTCCGAATTAAAAGTAGAAATCGGTCGGAAAATGTCTAAACCGATTTCGTTTTGATTTCGAATTTGGTGTTCCGTATTTTGAACCGAATTTGAATTTGTTCGAATTTGTCCGAAAATACGAATTCGATCGGGTCAAATGTAGAAAACGATGCGGTTCGGTTCGAGATATTTTTCGTACCGTTTTCATCCTTACATGCAAGGCAATGAACTTCGGTTCTTTTGCATGAGATCTTGCCCATGATTGTCGCGCGACGGAGGGAGACTGGATTGCAAGGAAGGAGGCAGACCGACAAGGCAAGGCTGCGGGAACGCAGCAGGCAAGACTATTGGCCCACGTTGGAATGTCGCACCAAAATGTGTCCACGCTTTGTTCTTTTTAGTTGTGGGAGAATAGAATTAGCACTTGAACCAATAGACTTAAAAAGAAACTATGAATTGTTTTTTCCTCTTCATACCACCTAATCGAAAAGAGGATTTCACTATTTGAGATATAGATCAAGTGATTAGATTAAATAAACTATAAACAAGTGCTATTTAAAAAAAAAGGCTCTATTGTACCGTAAAGAAGAACTGAAGAAAAGGCACAAAGTGACAAAGACAAAGGTGGGTCACCAACGTAGATCCTTGTCCCACCCGGCGGCCCGGGTCCTCGACGCCGCGCCATTGCCCCGTCCGGCGACAGCGGACGACTCCCCCCGCGCCCTTTAGGGCAAGGCGCATCGCGGACGGCTTGACCTCCTCGTCGGAGTTGATGAGGTACAGGACCTTGCCTTTCTACCGTGATCTAGTCGAGTCCGCCGCCGTTGCCATTGCTCGAAGGGGAGAACTGCCCTCGAGCGCTCGCGTCCGGGTTTTTGCGTTCCACCCACGGCGACCAGCCATTGCCGTGCACTCGAGGGGAGTGGAGGAGGCGAGTGTTTGGACGAGGAGGAGGCAGAGTGAGCGAGGCCAGGCAATATTAATTACAGAAAAACTAGAGGCGGCTCGCTATCTAGCCACCTCTGCCACGGGATTTGTAGAGGTGGTTTGTAACTCTAGGGGCCCATATAGATCCATTTATAGAGGCGGCTAGATAGCGAGCCGCCTTTGAAGATGTATCTACATAGGTGGACTATTTCGCATGGCACTATAGAGATGGCTCAATCAAGAGCCGCCTCTATATATAGTAAAAAGTAGTCACGTTCCTAAAAATTGTTTTTATACGGAGTAGCAGCGACTTCAAAACAATTGAGAGGGTTTTGGCTAGGGAGGAACATGTGTGGTGACAACGATTGCACATACAATGGCACCAAGTGAATGCACTATGAAGACGATACAAAGTGTAGGAATCCAAGCAACCTAGCTCTAATCTAATATCAGAAAATAACTTTATTCTCCGCATACCGAATAACCAATTTCTTCGATAGTTCTCCTTCAGGTTCGATTTGTTACGATGGAGATTATAGCTGAGCGTCTGTAATTCACTAGTATCTCAGCAAACAAAGAAATAAGCAAAGACTAGTCTTGAACTAGTGCCAAATTATATTAATATTCACGAGTTCTCCTCCATTTAGCAAAGACAAATCGACCTAGGCCCAAATAATCCTAGTGATAGGACATGTTCGTTGTAGAGCCGTAGAGGCGACGACCAAAAATTCGTATGCACTGCCCTGTGCCAAGTCTAAAACGAAAAACCGATGTGGCTTACAAGTCGGAAAGGCCCTGGCCCCACCGTGGCTTCCACTTGGTCCTCGATGCAGCGCACCTGTTCTCTGCCGCCGCTCCACCCCCCACTACTCCCACAGTCCCACTCCCAGCTTTTCAAAACCGCCGTCCTCCAGTCCACAGATTCCCGCGCCCGCCCCCACGCCGCTCGCCCCCCTCCCCTTCCTTCCTCCTTCCGATTGGGGACACCGCCCGCCGTCTCCACTGCGCAGCGCGCCTCGGCTACCGTACCGTCGAGCGGCAGGTCGCCGCTGAGCTTTTTGGCGTGCGTTGGTTCTTCTTGCGCAACTCTGCTGCTGGTTTCCAGCTCTGTTTTCCTTTCTTTCTCCTTGTCAAATCTATCCTCCTGGCCGGGTAGCTTTTGGAAATTCCGGCGGGTTGCCGTTCTCGGCTTGTGTTCTTGGCCATCCCGGGTGGTGCTATTAATCTGGAGACAGATCCGGTCACTTGGGACGAGATCAAGAAAAGGAAGAAAAGAAACAGCGCGGCAAGCCGGCATCACGTAGCTTAAGATCAGAGGTACCTACCAAAACTTCCTTCAAGTGTAATGTAACCTTTGTAATCTAGATTTGTCTGTCTGTTCATCGTACATCCTGATCATGTCAAGCCGTTCTTGATTTCGTTCTTGTCTTTTTGAATGGTGAGCAGATACTGAGATTCCATCGGTCGTACGTCGTCAGAGCAACCTCACTTCGCTCAGTCCTGCGCGTTAGATGCTGGTTGCCGCGTCGCTCATGGCAATGGAGTTGGACACGGACCAGCTCGCCAGGTGGGAGCAGCAGCAGCAGCACCCGAGGCGGCAGCAGAGCAGGAGGCAGGCCGTGGCCGTGGCCGTCTGCAGACAGAGCGCCGCGGCGGCGGCGTCCAAGGGGCAGCAGCGGCGTCAGAACGCGCCGCCACCGCCGTCGCCCAAGCCTCCGCCGGCGGCGGCGGGCAGGCTCAGCGCTGAGGCGTTCCTGGCGCTGGCATGCGTCGCCGTGTCGCTCGTCGTGCTGCCGCTCGTCCTGCCGCCGCTGCCGCCCCCGCCGCCGCTGCTGCTGCTGGTGCCCGTCTGCCTGCTCCTGCTCCTCGCCGCGCTCGCCACCTTCGTGCCGTCGTCGGATGTCAGGACCATGGCGTCCTCCTACTTGTAACTACTAGTTGCTTAGTGAGTTTGCATAAATTCTTCCGGTCGGCCTTTTCTCTGTATATGGCGATAAAATGAGTGTAATGATGAAATGGAAATCTTCTTCTTTGTTTGTTTATTATTTTTTCCCCTGAAACAGAGATTCATCGTTAGATCGAACAAATTACTACGTACATGTGCTTTCTGTTCTGCAATCTGCATTTGATTGAACTCATCTAGTTTCTACTGGTTTCAGAAAATTACTGCGTGATTAGATAGATAATGAAATATGAAAACCAAGTTATATTACTCGCTCCTGCATGTTATGTGATGCATATCTCTGTTTACAAATTTGTTCAAGAATATGTTCCTTCTTAATTTTTATATTGCAAGTATCTCATGTACAAATTTCTACGACATGAGTAACTTTACATGCTTTTAAAACCCAATAATTTGGTTTAACTAATCTTCGTCTTAAATGATATTTTACGGCTGTACTAGTACTATCTCAGCTTATCCGTTTGTTGGTTTCAATGCCAGGCTTTATCAGTCAGCCAATAATTTTCCAACCAACAAATACATCATATGTTAATGGGACTCTGTACATGCTACAGGTCTATGCATTTACTTTATGTTAGGTAGTGCAATAGGCTCATTACATATGCCTACTAGTTACTACTCTCTGTTAAAAAAATCATTATAGGATTCATCAAACCTTTTAAAATTTAATTAACTAGATCTATGAAGAAATATTAACAATATTTGTATCTCGAAATAAGTTTATAAAAATATATTCAAAGATCTATATTAGAAAACTAATTATGTATATATATTTAGTTAAAATTAAAAATATTTCGACACGTACGATGGAGGGAGTACTCGTAAACTCGACACGTACGATGGAGACAAACGTCCATGCGCAAAGGCGTCAGAGTGACAGAGTCCCATCAGGTATGCTGATAGCTAGAGATACTCAATTAGGCCTTTTTTTAGATGCGAATTTTTTTAGGTTTTAGCTACTGTAGCATTTTGTTTGTATTTGATAAAAATTATTCAATTATGGACTATTTAGGCTTAAAAGATTCGTCTCGCCAATTACGGGCAAACTGTACAATTAGTTATTCTTTTTACCTACATTTAATGCTCTATGTATATGTCACAAGATTTGATGTGACGAAGAATCTTGAAAAAATTTGGATTTTAGGTGGGATCTAAACAGAGCCTTAATTGGCTCATTTTGAGATCGTTGATATAATCGTCTCGACACGTTGGCGTTACCATCCTACCAGACTGTTATTTGATTCGACTTTTGCCTTTGCAGTAGTAGTTTTCCCACCAGACCCGTAACCCGTTACCAACTGCTCGAGAGTAGTTTTCCTTGTAAACAATCTCATTTTGCCTTTTGAAACGATTTAAAACTCAAATATTTGCATTTTTCAAAGTAGGAGCATAGGCAACTATATATTAGATATTAGATTTTTTTTATCTTCAACCGTGAATAAAATGGAGAGCAGCCAGGCCATCCGCGTGGATTTATCCTCCCAAATTTCCACACCTGGCGAGTTTTATCGTCCATCACCGGTTAGTCCTCTCATTGTCTATAGGGATTACCAGTCGCGTCAAACCGAAGCATATACTCCCTCCGTACTTAGAAATCACGTCGTTTTAGGGGTGGAGTGGTTTTCACTAATAAAGTCGTTTTGGGCGCATGGAGAGAGTTTTGGACGGGATTACCCCCACTGTCGGGGACCAATACTAGGGTATCCGAAGAGAAGCTAATGGTCATCAACATTGATTCATCCGAGCAGTCAAGAGTGCGACTATAGCTCCAACCGACCCCCAGGCGCGCAGGCTCCGCCTCGCCTAACCCTTGGGGGCGGGCTTCGTCTCACTCGACCCTGAGGCCACGAGCTCCGCCTCGCCCGACCCCGAGGGCGCAGGCTCCACCTCTCTCGACCTCTGGGTCGGGGGCTCCGTCTCGCCCGACCCCTCAGGCGCGGCTCCTGATGGAAGCCCATACCGCCACCAACCACTACGGGCCAGAAAGCACAATCCAAGGTTAAACTTTCTGGCATCGTGCATGGAGCTAGCACATCTCAACATGACCCATGCCTGCGACATGTCACTACAGGAAACTCACATCACCAACAGTGATAGATGCGTGGTCACTATACTGCCTACTCCCTGTATGATCGCTGATCAGCACGCTGGTTCGCCGTGTCGCCCACCGGGGCGGAATGGGACGTCACGACCCGCTGACAACGCCAGGGCGTGGCATTAGCGGTGAACAGGCACCCGGCATGGAGCCATCCTTGTCACCATCTGTAGTGTCGGTGGGACCCGCACAAAGGAAAAGAAAAGCCCAGCGGTCCTAGAAGCCTTGCTCTCCTTGCTTCTTCTCTCTCTTTCTCTGTGTAACCTGCTCTTCTCCTTCGTCTATAAAAGGGGAAGCAGGATGTCCCAGGAAGAGGGCGGTTCACCACTCTACACGGCTGTAGACATCAAAACACACGCCCTAACATGCCTTAGGAGCACACGCACATCAGAGACTTGGGACATATCCCTCTCTCGCTCGTTTATAACCTCTATTACAAACTTTCAGTGCTAGTAACATGAGCAGCAGCGACGAACTGGACGTAGGGACTTTTTGCCCGAACCAGTACAAACCTCATGTCCTCTAAGCACACCATCCAAGCCAGACGCGCAATACTAGAAATTTACTCATCGGTGGTAACTCGAAACACCGACAGTTGGTGCACTAGGTAGGGGTTTTTTGTGCGTCTCGACATCCACATCAGGCCTCGGATGGCTAGTCACGACGTCTGCTGGGTCCCGGGCACGCAGGTGCGGTTCGGGAACCTGGACTTCATCGCCACGATGAAGAGAGAGTTGATGCAGGCTCCTATCGCCGTCCAACCTCTCCACTCCGTCGGCCTCGACGCAATCGCTGAGGCGCTTGAGGAGCTGCAGTTGCACGCATCGGAGGCCCACGCCCCCGGGAGCGACCAGCTCCTCGGCTTCGATTATGGGAGGCTAGAGCGCCAGCTCGGTGCCTTCCTAGGACCCCGACCATCCCGGGAGGACCTAGGTCGCCTCGCCTTCTCCTTTGCCAACATCATGATGCAGCTGGCCGGGGGAGAGCCGCTCTCCCTAGAATACCTCATCCAGAGTGCCCCGCCAGCGCTCCCGTCCGGTCTCCGCAATGCCGCAAAGACCGTTGGCCACCTTATGGCGCAACGCACACCTCCATCCCCCGCAAACGATGAGTTCGTGGGGATGACCGAATATATCGCAGAATCTTTCCATGACCTCCTTGCGGGAGAATTGGGGTCGCCCTCCGAATCTGATTCCAACAGGGGGAGCCATCACCCTTCTCGTGAATGTTTCATGGTAGGTACTCTCAAAGGATACGTCGAAAGCATCCATGAGGGAGAGGCTACCCCAACGAACGACCTCAACGACGAGGTCAAGGGGATGCAGGGGCCCCACCTCACCTGCGGGTAAGCAGCTAAAGGCCCGGCACCAAGAGATCGAGGAAGCATGGCTCTAGCTCAAGCAGGAATGCATGGAGCTCGAGTGCCACGGAGACGGTGGGCGTGCGCGCGCCGTGGTCCCATGACGTGAACCGGAGAATCATCGAGGACGACGAAGCCCTCCCACACTTCACCCAGGCAAGCCAGAACATCACTGCTGTGGTGGCCTTGCTCCAGGGGCTTCCGAGCCCCGCGACGCCCGAGGATCATCAGGCCCATCGGAGATTCGCACACTACTCGAGTGTGCGACGACGCAGCAGGCCGAGGGCTCACTGTCCTGATGACGCAAGCTCGACGCCAGCCAGTGCGCGCCATCAGAGCGACCGGACAAGGACGTGTCGGTCCACCAGGCGCAGCAAGGTGGTAGGCCACACACCGCGGTCCCGGTGCATGAATGTCTCGGCATCCACCGTGATGCGCGTGACACCCTCGACACCCACAGGAGTACCCGCAGGGATGTGTGGGAGGAGGCTAGCCGTGGCTACCACCCTCGTCGTGGTGGACACTATGACAGTGGTGAGGACCGAAGCCCGTGCCCCGACTTGCTAGAACCTCAGGCCTTTGGCCGACACATCCTCAACGCCATCTTCTCACCACGGTACCGACTGTTGACTAACATTTCAAAATACTTCGAGGAAACAAACCCCGAACTCTGGCTCGAGGATTATCGGCTTGCTTGCCAAGCCGATGGAGCGGATAATGACGATTTCATTATCCGCAATCTTCCATTGTTCCTGGACGATTCAGCGCGAACATGGTTGGAACACCTTCCGCCCAACCGAATCCAAAGTTGGGCGGACCTAAAAGAGATCTTCGTGGAAAACTTCCAGGGCACATACGTATGTCCTAGGAACCCATGGGACCTCAAAAACTGCCGATAGAAGTCTGGGAAAACTCTTCATGGGTACATCCAGCGCTTCTCCTGGTAGTGCAACGAGCTGCCCAACGTCGCTGACGCCGACGTCATAGGAGCCTTCCTGTCTGGGACCACCTACGAGTCTCTGGTCCACAAGATGGGACATAAGGGCCCACGAACCACCAAGAACTCCTCGACATCACCACCAACCACGCCTCGGGCGAGGAGGCGGTTGAAGCGATTTTTGACCACCTCAAAGGCAAGGCAAAGCCGGACAAGGACGTTGGTGAAGGCGCCTCCAACCATCCCAACAAGAAGGAGAACAAGCAGCGGCGCGAGAGCTCGCTCATGGCCACTGTCGACCACAAGGGGGGTCGGAAGCCTATCAAGGGTACCTCGGACCCCTTCAAGAAGCTGCTTGAAGGGCCATGCCTGAACCATGCTTTCCCCATCAAGCACCTATACAAGGACTGCGTCCTCATGAAGCGGTTCTTGTCCGGAGGCTCCAACAAGGGGGAGCATAGAAAGGAGCCCAAGTCGACCACGGATGACACCGAGGGGAAGGTTGGCGGCCTATGACTCCAAGCACCACCAGAAGCTTGCGCGCCGCGAGGTCTATACGACCAAGCCGGTCGCGCC